GTGCATTTCTAAATGATGTTTTCAAAATGATGCTTTAAGCCTTGGTTTTTGTATTGTATTTTGTCAACGTAATTTTAGTATACTTTCTTTTACTTGTTTTGACTATGATGTTAATAAAAATAACACTTTTTGTTAAAATAATATGGTAAAATAAACTTTTTCTTTTAACTATTTGTGCGTGTAAATGTGTTATAGAGTACATGTAAATTACGGCTACTCTAAAAAGAAAAACCTGTTAATCTGGTAAGCACTCATTATTTACATAATTTGAATAGCCCCATCCCTTTAAGTAGACTGTTTCAAGATGGCGTCGCGCTTAGCATATCTTGGCCCCAGCTTCTTGACTGGAGTAGCCTCTCTAGTGTATATACCTCATTGGTTAGCGCATTAATCATATCGAAACGAACCATCTACCATTAGCTTTCCACAGAACCCAATTTAAAAGAACATCYTAACTATTTTCATCACTTGGTAGCTCATATTTAAAGTAATCTGACATGAAGAGTTCAACATAATAAGTAAAATAAGTGGCTTCATGAAGGGTCTACGATGGTTGTCTCTGCTGAGCTTCAGATGTTCCTCAAATTATTTGGCAGATCACCTCATTTTAGAGAAGGGGGTCTCTGCAGTCTGCACTGTGATGGACTTGCGACCTGTCCAGGGTGTACCCCACCCCTCGCATAGTGACTGCTGGATTTGGGCACCAGTGACCCCCGTGACCTTGAAAGAAAGAAGTTCAGATTTTCCAACTCCAGCGTCTGCCACTTTGGATGCCTACCATAGACATTGCTTAAAACCCAGACACCCCTGATGCTCAAATCGCGTTCGGTTTGAACGCAGCACAAGCAGGAGGTTCTTGATGTGTGTTTTGAAGAAACCATAATGATTCCAATGGATGACCGCTCGAAATGGCCAGAAAGTCTATTTTTTTTWATCAATATTAATGTTAGTCACAACTTGAGACATTTTACTATTAGCATTACTTCCCTTTTAAAGTAACCCCCACAAGTCAATCACGGTTAGGACAAACTCCGCCCACACAAAACTCCCCCTATGTACTGCAGAGACCCCTACTTGGCATTTTAACCACATAATAAGGGTTCAGTTTTCAGTGCTTGACTAAATAAAAACATTGCATAACCCCAAAAAGTTAATGGCTCCAGAAAAAGCTGCAAAAAAAAAAAAACACATTTTGATTCATTCAGATAACATTTGAGTTTTATAAAAGACAGGTTTTAACACAGATCTAAAGGTGATGATACACTTTCCAGTTTGGCTGCATTATCAATCATCTTTTCAAAAAATGTTTTCATTTTGAGTCAAATACTGCTGTAAAAGTGAAGTAAGCCGATGCATTAAAGATCCAAACTGTTTGCTGACATCTCTGTAAACACAGTCCTCTACTGTTCAGTTTGGGCTCTTGGTCACTCCGGGTGTTTAAATGGTGACGCTGGTGTAAACAACARAGAAGATGTACTGTGTGTGTTTGTTTTTGAGGAGCTCCACTGGCAGCCCACAGCTCCTCTTCTTCTGCTCGGGGCAGAGTTGGAGCAAAACATGGGTTTTAAAAAAATCAGAGGATGGACTTCCCAGCAGCCCCTGACCTTAYCTCCAGGAATTCTCATGTGGCTTTCTCAAGGACACTTACTCGTTCAAAACTGCTCATGCTCCCCATGCTTCCCAAGCGGCCCCGCATTCGATTGGCACCCTGATGACAGATTTGACAAAACAATGTGAAACATGTTGGGAAAATACAATAAAAAAATTAAACATTTTATTGTTCCTGAATGGGAAAAAAATCTACTGTTAAAGCTAGTAAAACAAATAATCACAATAAACTGAATTATCGTAGATGAGGAGGTATAAAAACGAACAGATGTTTCCAGATTTGATGACACTGTTTAGTTAAGTCAGTGAAATAATAACAGATGGCAGAGGAGATCTCAGGCTGCCCAGACCCGTACACCAAGGACTTATTCTGCTATCTCACGAGTACATATGGGTCAATCCAAATCCCCCTGGATGATTGTTACACAGAAACAGCAACAAACACAAAAACTGAGCAGGGAGACAAAATGAAAAAAAAAAGAATTAAATAAACAGTARGCAGCATGAAGGCCGTATCCATTCAAAGAAGAGGAAATAAGAGACAGAACCAGAGAAAAGGTCATATTCCTGATAATATTTAACAACAACAAAGCAAAGGGAATATTGTGTTACTAGAATAAYAGCCTCTCTGCTCAGACCCACCCTCGCAAAGATGTTTTCCAATGAGCTGGTGAGAGAAGTGCGGGCTTTACTCTTCAGAAGATCGAGTTTGAAGCGGCTGCCGGTGGRCGTGCTGTCTGCTGCTGTCAGGCTATTTGCTGCATTCTGCCAGACAGAAAAAAAAAATAAAAATTTTAATGACCAGAGCAATCATTATTGAATTTCTCTGCAATGATGGTCATATTAGGCTTGAAAAAGGGGCAGAAGAACGATCCAGAACTGGAAGAAACAGCCTGCAGCTGCTGGATTTCTGCCAGCTCAGCAATAATCTCAAATACACATTCTATCACMTTAGATCATTTCTCTATATTTTATACTTTTTATGTCCCCCCTGCCCAATAATTTATGGAATAGAGCATCTGTTAATGTATAGCAGTAGATGAAGTAACATTTACTTCAATATTATTGACATAAATCATCACAGTAGCTAAAAACAGCTCTTTGGCCATGGAGACGTATGCTCTTTGGAGGTTCTTTTACCTGGTTCCCCACTTTTCCCACTAGAAACTGTAAAAACCATTTAGACCAGTGGTTCCCAAACTTTTTATCTTCTGACCCACAATATATCCATGGCAAAAACTTGTGACCCCAAATA